TGCTTAGATAACACAAACAAATAATTTTGACAACAGGGAAGGAAAAGTTATCGCAATGGATGGGGCAGATCATATAGAAAATATGATACGGGCTTGAACTGATTATGGTACGTGTAGAATTATAAGTACGCATTCTAGTGAAGTCGAGACTTAAGTAACGGCTGCAACAATGTTTTAGTAATGAAGAAAAGAAGAAGTGTAAAATGAATGCGCTTCTTCAGCGCGATGATAGGCTTCCTAATGCATATAATCTGCATAAAATTCATAGAGGGAATCCCATTAAGGATCAGTGTACAATGAGGGTTGTGCGATTTGTTTGTGGTCAATTAAAGAGAATATCAGGTTTTGGGAAATTTTCAATAAATAATTCGTATAGTTTTAATAATTTAAGAGATGAGCAAATAATAGAACAGGAAGATTTACTTGCAAGTTTTGATCTAGTATCCATGTACATGAATATAACGGTAAGTGGGGTCTCACAGTTTTTAGGATTAACCTTAGATATACATCCAGAGATTGCATCAAGAAATAAGATAGACAAGGAGTTGATCCTGAGAATGACGAACTTTATAATGAATAGTACATATTTAACCTTTAGTGGTAAATTATATGAGCAAACTAAATGTTTAGCTGCGTGATCGTATTTGACTCCAGTATAAGTTAACAACTATTTGGCTCAGTTGGAAGTCCAGCTTTTTCAAAAAGCACTCCTAGTTCCGATACTATTGATCATATATATGGATAACTACTTTGCTATCTGGCAGCATGATAAATAGAGCTTAGCAGACTCCATGAGGTTAACAAGAGAATTAGATAGGATGACTGAATTTACTATGGAATTATAAAAATGAGCAGTAAGTTTGCCTTTTTAGATAGTATAATTATTAAAGAAGGAAACAAATCTAGTATGAATGTGTATATGATAATCACAAATGTGGATTTGCCTCTTAATTTTTTTTCGAATCATACGCTGGTGCTAAAGTAGGAGCAATGAAATCAATGATAACAAGTAGTTTACGTCTAGCTGACGTAGATTATCAAGATCATGAATTAGAAAGGCTAAAAAATCTTAGATAAGAACTATTATTTATTATGATTAATTTTTAACAATTTTGAAATACTAAGAAATAGTGAGAGGAAACCAATATTTAGGGAAAAACATGGAATATGACAACTCTTTGTATAGGTTCCTAATGATACAATCCTGTCAGCTTTCAAGAAATATATGCGAATTACTGAATAAATGGAAGGTCAAAACCATGCATAAAGAAATACTAACATCTTATTTCAAAGAATCTTTAGACACCCTTTGCAGATCAGGTTGTTATAAGGTTTTATGCTCATGGGGTAGTGTTTATATGGGGGAGACTTGTCGATCCATACATAAGAGGATATCAGAACAAAAGAACACCTGCAAAATTTTATGTATTCAGAAATCGGAGGTGGATGAACATATGATCACTACAGGACATTAAATTGAGTGGTCTAAAACCCAAGGTTTTGCCAAATATGGGGACTTTACAGAAAAGGGGAAGATCAAGGAATTGTTTACGATTAATAAAACGAAGAACAGCCTGAATAAAAGGAACGAATGTAGGAAAGTAAGCAAGCATTAGCTCTGGTTACTTGATAAAATTAAAGAGAATGAGAGAGAGGAAATAAGAAGAGCCACCGAGTAAGGCTTGACTAACCTAAATTTCCAAGTAACTCGTGAATGTGCATACACACAATGCACACACATCCACGAAGTTAAAACAAGCCCCAGAATTACATGATCATACGCTAGTTTATTCCCATAAAGAAAAGTTGTGACCTAGTCCATTCATCTTCATGCATCAAAATCACTCGCATACATGCATGCAGGAGAAGCACAAAGTGTATGCGAAGAAAAGTTGGGTTTTCTTGACTCGTTAGTTTGAATTTCGTTGTGACGATTTTACCTTACTCTGATGATGTTCATCATATGATGGACGAAAGCTTAGCACCTTTTCATCGGAATTGAAGGAGATTACCTTGGAAAAGGCGTCAGCATGTTCTAGTAAAGCCAATCGACATCTGGTTAAGAGGAATCCGCCCTCGTCTTCTGGTGGAATCGACATTCGAATCTCTTTACTAAACACTTTCACTCTAAATGGAAGTAAGCTCAACAAGCAGAAAGTAGCCAAGCAAATCATGGAATGCCTTATTAAGATGGCAAAGGGATGTACAAGGATTAAGTAGAATCGCCGCTGGCCACCTTTCTTGGTTTATTGTTTTTGTGATTGCCCGTAAATAATGGTTTTTGGCTCTGAGGATGCCCGTTATATGACGAACGAAAGCTCGTCACGGAGTCATCGGGGTCGTAGAATGGCGAACCGAGGTCTTCTACGCACAATTCGACAGTCAAGAGTCCAAATCAACACTACTTCGGTTGCCGATGAGGCCAATTTACGAATACTTTCCGCCAACCTTCTCAAACAAAATGAAAGATATGCCACTATCACATACGTATTTGCTACTAAAATGTCAATGATATTCGTTTTTGGTATGGCTTCGAGACTGGCACTCATGGTAATATGAGATAGCTGTAAATGTATCGAAATTGCAACTCTCAAAATCCTAGTCAAAAATGTGTACAAGTAATGTTGTCAGCAATAATGACATATAAATACTTTC